AGACACCAATCACAGACAACTCTTTAAAGTAGATTATTTTCTGTAAGTGTGAATTTCTTACTAACTTAGAGTTTTCATATCCAAAGTTTTAAGAATGTTTTACAGTTCTTCATGAAAGGAATCTTTCATTTATTAAAATCAGTAGGAATAGCATTTTTAGTAGGAGTTGTTAACAAATGAAGTTGTTATTTAATGAAATCTATAGCACAAAAATATAAAGCTCCTGCCTCTATAATGATTGCAGAAATTTTATAACAGTGCCAATGATTTTTAGCAAACAACCCTGATTTTGTAAGAAGGTAGGAGGAGTAAAAGAATAATAATTCACATTGCTGCTATACTAGAGCTGGGTGAAAGATGTAAAGAACAACTTTTTAGCAAAGAAAACAGTTGTGTCTTATTTATGGTTGAATTTTCACACAACTTTTGTTGCTTTTGTCGATTTCTTTTCTCTTGAGATCATGATTATGAAAATTATTTCTTAATAATTTATGTCAAAATGAAAGCTAAATTACCTTATGAAGTGGCAAGTTTGAGTAGGTATTTCTATAGGTAGTGAATGAAAATTTCCTATGAACTATAGTGAGTGTTTTGGGGAGGCAAGACTTATCCATATATTAAAATATAGGCTATCAATGGAAAACACCAAATGGGTTTTAAAGTAAAAACCAAATGTGATTTGTGATTTCCATTTAATGTGATTGTTGTTATTGAGCTCTCAAGTTTGATTTACATATGTACCCTACATTATTAATCTGATTTAGTAAATCCATTTTAACCATAATTCATCATCTAGCCATTCATATTAAGTTTTGAAAATAGTAAATTTTAGAGTGGAAGAAATCTTGAGACTTAAAATAAATCTCTGTTTCAGACCGCATCTCTCCCTGAAGTAAAAAATTGTTAGGATGAAGTCATAGTGATTAAATGGATTTTCCCACAAGAGCTTTTTTTCCCTTAAAACTTTGGCTATTTATAATATTTGATCTCAAAATATTGGTTATAGCCTCTTTCTTTTTTTTTCTTTTCCTTCCATCCTTCCTTTTTCTTCTTTTCTTTTCTTTCTTTCTTTCTTTCTTTCTTTCTTTCTTTCTTTCTTTCTTTCTTTCTTTCTTTCTTCTTTCTTTTCTTCTCTTTCTTCTTTCTTTCTTCCATTCTCTTTTCTCTATTTTTTTGTTCTAATTCATAGATTTGTAACCCCCAAAGACAATTTACATCTTAATACTCAAAAATTTTAAAAAGTGAGAAAATAACAATGTGTTATGATTTTCCTCTGATGCTATTTATTGTTGCATAAACAAAAGTTGCTCCAGAAATAGATGCAATAGAGGTTTTAAAACTAAAATATTGTTGCGATAGGGTCACAGTTGTACTGCAAATGTATTCATTGTGACTATGCTTCATGTTTCTTTGGGAAGGCCTGAGGAAAAGGAATGTTGTTTAAAACCCACCCTTCCTTGGCAGTGCTACAGCTTATAAAGCACTTATCCCACTATTGGCTAGTCATCCCTTAAATCTGATTTTATTTCCTATCTACATTGGTCTACTCTTGAATTCAATGTAATGTACCTTATATCTATCCTCATATCATTGCTTGCTCCATGGTGGAAGTACTATCCAACTACTACTGGCTCATGAGAATTTATGTCTTTGAACCGTTGCCTATTTAATTTCCTTCTCTCTGAATTTGCACCATGGTTCTCTCCTCAGCCCATCTCTCAAGACTTTAATCAGGCATCAAATCTGGGAATCTATCCTCTCTCTTTTCTGTCCATTAGCAACATGTGCATACATTTTCACATGGTCTTTTCACAAATCATGGTGGTCTTTTGTCCCATGTATGGCCTCACTGATACAGTGAGAATATTACAGATAGTAAATGCCTGAGTTGATGAACCAGCCAAATCCTAAGATGTGGCATGTATTCAGTAAATCATTAGTAAACAGAATAGAATGAGTGAATAAATGAGCAAGTGGATGAACCCACTGCCAGAGTAAAAATAGTCTTAGTCTTGTCACTTAGGCATGCTTCTACTGGGGAAATATTTGCACAAATAATAGTGAATATATCAGAACCTCTATCTTCCCAATTTGTTAAAGGATTGTATTTTCTACCCATCCATAGAAGTTTCTTATAGACAACAAGAATTCGTGTATGTAACAGTATAAAGTATTATCCAGATACAGGATTGTTTTCATGCTCACAGGCATTATTTAATATTTGATGACTTAATTAAAAAAAAAAAAAGAAACAACAAATGCTGGGGACAAAGATATAATCTGAAATAGGAGAGAGGTTGAAATTTATTATAGTATCCTGAGGACCAAAGAAGTTTTAAACTTAACCCAAGGATTCTAAACTCTAGCTACACATTAGAAATATTTAAGTATTTAAAAAATATTTAGGCCTGAGCTTTCATTTAACTCATGTAAGGTGGGGCTCTGTCACTGACATGTTTCAAAAGCTCTCCAGGTGATTCTAATATACAGTCAGCGTGAGAACCACTGATGGGCCACAGGAATTTAGGAAATGCTTCTTAGGAAAAAACTGCATAATACATGAGATGTTTTAGAAAGATTAATCAGCATGAATAGATATGAGGAGAGGCTAGGGACAGGAATTGAGTGATTAAAATGTCTAGGAACATTACAGGTGAAAATAAGTGTTTTAAAGTCTAAACTTAAAAACTAACTACTTTTGTAGTTAACAATGAAATTGTACAGACAAATTTAGGTGCATTCAAAGAATGAATATTAGCAAAGCAACATTTTAAAAACTACATGTAAAAGTTTCTTAGGTGGCAAGCATAAGTTAAACTAGCACTCACTATTTGCTGAATTCCCGAAAAAGAGTTTTTAGAGTAGGTAAGTTTGGAACAGGGTCAAAATTAAATAATTTGCAAATATGGTTATTTATTTTAAACAAACATAAATAAATAATTGATTAATATTCATAATGGAAAGCCAGTATTTTAAAATGCATTTAAGCATATAAAATGGTGGTCTTCAAACAAAAATATAGTAAATTCAATATAATAAACTTTAAAACTCATTTGCCTTTTTTTTTTTTTTTTTTTTGAGAAATTTTCGCTATAGGGCACGTGCGCTCGCCAGACGGAGAGAGACATAGAGACAGAAAGCGAGAAATCCCCCCCCCCAGGGGGGGGGGATGGTCACGCCACAATCCCTTCTCGTCCATTCTCCTCTTGGGATCTTGGACACGCACGCACACACCGGATCCATGATGCGAACCACGGTCAACTACGTGGGAGTCCAGCGACATAGCCATTATGCTAACTGCTGGTTCCCCATAGAACATTTGCCTTTAAAAACATTTTTGACAGTAATTTCCTAAAAGACTTGTCTCTGAAATGGGGAGTAATATTTCATTCCTAAGCAGAAAATATGGCATATTCATTTTAAAAGAAATAGTATGGTATATTTCCTTTAATGTCATAAGAAGTTATCCATATGTTGTAGCCTTGTGAGAGAGGAAAGGGTGCCTATACATGAGGAACCTTGTCTGGAGGCATTGCTGTACCTTTCTACTAAAGTACAAAACTAACAAACTATAAAGTTATGCTTAATAAGTGGCCAAACAGTAGTACGTATCAGTATTCCTTGCCTTGAATTGAATAAGAGATTTAGAAAAAAGGGGAAATGAACAAACAGGAAATGAGTAATGTCTTATTTTCACATAAAAAATTCTTGTGAGGAATATGGAAAATAGTCATTTTTATAGAGTCAAAGCCATAATTTAATACCTTATATTCTATAATTTACAACTATGTTCAAATGGATTATTTTAGCTAACCTGTTTTTAGAAATGTGCTCTATTTAGCACTTAAAAAATAATTGCTAGTGGGCATATGCGCTTGCTAGAGAGACAGAGAGACAGAGACAGAGAAGGAGCAAGCATGCCTAATAGTACGGTCATGCCTCTGTCCTTATTCCTCCATTTCTTCCTCTTGTTAGGATATATGTATTCTGGGGCTGGAATTTGAACCATAGACAACCATATTGTATTCTCTTAAGCACTAGGCTATGAGGCTAGCCCATAAACTAGTATTTTTCTAAGACACTAAACTTGTAGTTTTTTAGTTTTACCTATTTAAAACATATCACTTATCAAGGCAGTTTATGTGTTATATATGAGCTTGGAAAATGATCCCAAAAGGTTGGGTAGCAGTACAACCTTGGCGGAGAAGTTATTACTCAATCTCAGTTGTAAGTGGAGACAATAATATCTATGTCAATCGTTAATTGGGGGCCAGTGCATGGCCTGGTGGTTAAGTGAGCTGGATCCCAGAACCAGTGACTTAATAAACATGCTGGACATGTGCACGTACATGCCCAAAATTCTGAAAGGAGGGAGAAATGGAGAAGGGATTGTAGTGTGATGATTCCCCACAAGGAAGTGCTTTTTCCTCTCTCTCTCTCTCTCTCTCTCTCTCTGGTGAAGGCATGCACCTTCTAATTAAAAAAAAACAAAAAGTTACTATGTATAGGAGAGGTCCTCAAAAAGTTCATGAAAAATTCATATTATTAAAAAAATTCGTTAACATAAAAAATTTTTGCAGCAATGTAAATTCATACCTTAATTCCATTTTTTTCCAGGGACTTTCTGAAGTCCTCTCATGTAAATCAAACACTTACAAATACCTCACGCAAATAGTAGCATCAATTATATTTTAGGAACTGAAGTCATGAATATAGTAAGTATATATTGCTTTACAAAGGGTAAAAATAAAATAACTAAATCTTATAGTTCATTAGTGTTTAGCAAAAACACTTAGACACTATTAACCCAGAACATTTTATTTTTTTGGTAATCTTTTTGATAAAGGGTCAGGGTCAATATTAATGCATGTATCAATGAATGTAGACTCTTGTTAGAGCGATTGGTATTCCAATATTAGGCTCATAGAAAACAGCCATATCTCTCAGTAGACACTCTAAATGTGAGTAGTTTGTCACAATTATTTGGTAATCTCTTTCAGTGTAACTCACACAGCAAAAGTGACAATATTCCTGTCACTCCTCAGAAATGTCCCAGCTCTGCGGGTTTCCACAGTCAGGAGAATGAAGAAAGCCATTTCGAGGTATGCCATATCTCTATAGAGGCCATGTTGGTACTGACTGGTTTTCATTTTTCTCATGATTTTAAATACTTTATGTAAACTACTATAAATATTTTCTTTGCAAACCTCATTTATACTATAGTGCTTTTTAAAATAACATTATGTAAATGATTGTAGAACAAACAGCCAGCAATAATCTTTTTCTTATTGGTAATGGTCCAACTATTAAATATAATGTTCATCATATTTAAAGAAAAGTGCTGATTTTTTACCTATTTTTTGAGAAAGTAATAAACAACTTTCTTTTGGAGTTAAATGTTCTGCATTGAATTATTTTCATTAATTGAGATATGTACATTTATTTATTGAAAGATTGGTATGTTTCTCCCTTTAATACAGAGAAGTCCAAGAACATATTGCTTAATATGAATTGTGTAAGTTGGAATTTCTATTTATCATTTTTATTTCTTTTATTTTTTCATTTCGATCTTTTATTTTCCCATATATTTGAACCTAAAATAAAAACATCATTTTTATTTTTTTAAAATGAATTTATCGACAGTAAAATATGAAGAATTCATATTTTTCTTTTTCTTTTATGTTGGGAGATTTATTTCAGTATCAATGATTTCACCATACTAAATGAATAAACCAGTTACCTTCATTCCATTTCTTTTATCATAGTGAAAAATATGAGGGCCAGCAGGTGATGTGGTGTATAAAGCTCTGGATCTGACAGGGGTGACCAGGGTTCAGGTCCTAGACCTAGCACCTTGATATTATGCCTGGCACATGTGCATATGTGCTCAAAATCCTGAGAGGAGAATGAAGAAGGGATTGCAGTGTAATCATCCCACTTAAGGGGTGATTTCTCATTTTTCCTCTCTCTATCTCTCTCAAGTGCACGCACCCTATGGCAAACCCATTCTCCCCCTGCCCCAGTAAAGAAAAATGCATATATATGGGATTAGCAGTTAGCGTAATGGCTATGTCGCTGGATTCCCATGTAGTTGACCGCGGGGATGGCCATGCCACAATTTCTTCTCCTCCATTCTCCTCTCGGGATCTTGGGCACGCATGCACATGTGCCCGGCGTGAGTTTAAGCCACAGGGTCTGGGATTCGAACCACGGTTGACTACATGGGAGGCCAGCAACATAGCCATTATGCCAACTGCTGGTCCCCAGAATAGTGTTTTAATATTTAACTCTAATATTAAAATACACTTGCTGTTTTATTTACTTTCTACTGTCATAACATGTAGAAAGATAGATGGTTATATAATATGTATCTGTGTTGTATATTCTTTTTCTCATTGAACCCTAGGGTTTTCCTCCATTACTAAAAGTTACTAAAAATATTTTAAATATTATTAGCAGTAAAAGATTTTCCAATTGTCCTTGCCTTCTAAAGGGATCTGTCTTCTCAAAAGCCCCAGAAGTAATACATATTAAAGAAACTATCGTGACTAATAGAAACTTAATCGGGAAAGAAAAACTGTTTCATTAGTTGGGATTGAAACAACTATTGATATTTGAAACAATTATGATATTTGAAAAGTTTTATTCTCTAATTCTTTCTTCATATATTTTTCTTTGAATCTAAATATTCAGAAATGTCCTTCTGAACTTCTTTGTTTCTTCTTTTATTATCTTCCTTTAACTCTCTCTTTTGCGAAAGCCTAAATCACTCAAAAGTTGAGGGAAGAACAATGGTTGCTTAATCTTTGAGTTTTGTTCAACACTGTAAAGGTTTCTACCATCCAGAATGGTGGAGTTCCTCCCATTAATCACGAACATTAGCTCAACAGTTCTTCCTCTATAGCAGAAATAAGATTTTATTCATAAATGAACATTCATTGAGATTCAAGTGAATTTTAAATTATTAAGAGTTTCATTTATTTTTATAACCCTTCATGAGTGTGTTCATTGACTAAAGAAGTCATACTCTTCAGAAAAGCTCTTTGATTATCAAGGGTGGTGGGATGAGGAAATCGTTTACTGATGATTTCTTCATATTTTGTAGAGAATTTAAATGAGGTGTAGTTCAAATAATTTTTAAGCCATAGTTTTGTTTTTTTTTTTGTTTGTTTGTTTGTTTGTTTTTTTCTTTTCTAGATGTCTTACAAGGCCCAAAGTATAAGAACACTTCGTACAGGGTTTATTTGACTAAATTTCTAGGGAACTTGGACAAAAATATGATACCCAGGTTTATGTTGTTGATTTGTGTTATTAATTGGACTGTAAAAGAACATTGAGTGTGGCCCTGCTGTGCTATATTTATAAACAAAGGGAAGGACAAATTAATTTTTGAAGGTTTTTAGCTTACAGATTCTCAGTTAAGCATCGTGTTTCAGGCCCATACTAGTCTGGGTGGTTTTGAACAGTAAGGTCATCTATAAGGTCCTAACTGCTTCTGGTGATGATGAAATTAAATATGATGCTAATACCAACAACCTATACTTTTGCGGCTTGTAATCTGTGCCAGAGATGGCTTCAAACGCTTTATGCATGTATTCTCCTATCAATTACTTTATGTCTTTGGTCAGTTTAAATTGCTTTTAATCAGAATACATTTAATATCTTAAGCATGCATTTTTCTAAATTTAGGGAGACAGTCTCTGATGTTTCTTATAAAATAAAACTTAAAGAGAAGAGAAAAGTGATACCAGCTTTAGAGACCTATAAAGCATCCTGAGACAGGATTTCTATGTAAATCATTAATATCTGCAGACTAATAATAAAATAGGAAATTTTAGTAACTGATTCTTTTTTTTTTTTTTCGAGGTTTTTGCTATAGGGCGTGTGCGCTCGCCAGACAGACAGAGACATAGAGACAGAAAGCAATAAATCACTCCCCAGGGGAGATGGTCACACCGCAATCCCTTCTCCTCCATTCTCCTCTCGGGATCTCGGGCACGCACGCACATGCCGCACATGCGCCCGGTGTGAGTTCTAAGTCACCGGGTCCAGGATGCGAACCACTGTCGACTACGTGGGAAACCAGAGACATAGCCATTATACTAACTGCTGGTTCCCAGTAACTGATTTCTTAAAAGTTACTAATCTAGTATTAATCATTCTTGACACCTAATAATAAAGGTGGTAATACTGTATGAAGCTGGTGCCTGCAATATCTTATTTTTTCTTTATATTGAATAATGCACGAAACCTGGTAAATTTATGCATTTGTCTAATTTATATTTTTTGCACAATTTATATTTCCCTTATGTAGTGCAAATACCTTAATGAAGTGAAAAGTAAGATGTAGTTTGACATAGAAAGATATTCAGTTAGATAAAATTATACTATTGTTCGACTATAAATCATATTCTAAGTCAATTAATTTTGATCGATCAGGATGAAGTTATTACATTTGTGTTATAACACTAGATACAAAATAAATCCAAGACTGGTATGACTAGCTAATGTAACAATTATTAGCATCACTTTTGACTTAAATATCATAATTACTGCTTACTTACATGTTATTATGAGCTATTGAGAAATATTTGTGCCAGACACTATTCTAAGCATTTCATATGTATTACAATAATTCTTCTGATCTCAGCTATGACTAAATATAAAGCATGCCGTTGTTTTATGTGCATAAGAGGAAAAGGTCCTTCAGCAAAATTCTGATAAATGCTTATTTATCATTTCTTTAATATACATCCTCCTTTAAGATATTGTAAAAAGCAGAGGAATTGTTTGTACTGGGATTGGTGACATTTAGCTTATTTAATCCTGACAACAGCCCCATTAAATAGTTAACGATTTTTATTCTCACTTTACAGATGAGGAAACGAAGGCACAGAGAGGGTATGAAATTTACTCACATTGACAGAGATAGTAATTAGCAGGGCAGATAAGAGCTGTAGACACATGACTTCAGAAACCACAAAGATAATTTCACCGTGATAGTGGCCAAGTAAAAACAAACAAATGAGAACAGGTTATATGACAACAACATACCACAGAGGTAGATTATATATTTATGTTAGTAAAGCATATCCTGAAGACAAGAGAGAGATACAGTAACTTGCCTTAAGTTATATAGCTAGGTAGTGATAGCACGAGAATTAGATCCGAGGATTTTGATTCTGAAGTAATCTAATGTCTCTAACTTTCAACTGCATATACATTTCTAAGCAAGTGTCAAAAAAATAGCTCATACTTGGAGTTCTTCCTTAAATTAAGTTTCAGATAAGGTGTGAAATTCAAACTAACTGTCATGTTTAAGGTTTCTCTTTTCAGTATACTTGTCATTGGATACACAGAACACCATAATGGTTAAAATAGAAGCACAAAATGAAAAAGTACACATTGCTTTCATACCATAAATATATATTGTCTTTGCTAAGCATCTTCAATCTATATAATAATTTATTGTCATTCTCTCTATTATATCCCATTCCCTTTGCCCATGAAACAGCACAGAGTGCAAACAGAGCTTTCAGCGTCTGTATTCTGCAATCTGTAGGAAAATGTCTCAGAGTTATTGGAATTCACACAAGACTGCATCTCAGTATGAGTAGCTGTTCCCTGTCACTGTTTTTGATGCTTGAGCTAAAGAATTTTTACAAAATGGTCTAGTGTTCAGCGTATGAATTTTTGAGATAAGACTTTTCCCTGGGAGGGATGAAATCCGAAAATCAATGTTAGATGGAAATCTGAGCTCTAAGAGTTAGGGAGACTGGTGGAAGGGTTTTAAAATAAGTGTGCATTTTGGCCGCCAGACTTTGGAAATGTGACAGTTATCATGAGTGTGAAATTCATGGGTGCAGATGGTTGATTAAGATATCCCAGGATGGGCCACTGGTATAAATCTCCACAGCAAAATTGAGAAAACCATTTTGATAAGGGAAATATTTTTATTACCTTTCATGTAAATTTATAACAGGCTTTACTGGATTTCTAAACTTATAAAAGTTAAATATCATTGGTTTCATGAAATTACCAATTGTGTCATGTGATGAAAATATTTAGTGGAATGTTTAAAAATATGTCTGATGATGAAGAA